GAATGTTGAGCACACATATGCATGTGCTCTCTCTTGCCAGGATGGGTTCTCTCTTTGGTTGAAAGAGGAGATCAATAAAAAATAATCAAGATGAGGAGAAGGCACTGATCAGGGGCTAAGAGGGATACGCACACAAGGGGCCAACTCTCTCAGTCTCTCTCTGGCTGAGAGCTCACGAGTGCTGCTCTTCCTCATCACTCAATCAAAAACCCATTCAAAGCTTGGAGTCTAACATGGAGTTGGGTTGGAGCTGAAAACAACACACTCAAGAACACACCCAGTTCTCTCCCTCTCGGAGAACACACAGAGAGATCCACACACGAACACAAAGGGAGGAGTTGCTCCCTCTCTCAATCTCTCTCTCTCTCTCGGGTTGCTTTTGGATAAAAACCCAGCACCAGAATAGTTATCTAGTTTTATCTTGAGAAGCTCTCCTTCATAGGTGAAATGGTCCATTGCCCAGCTGGGCTGAAACAACTCATCATTCCTTGATGACTCAACCGAACCCACCATTACAACTGCAACAAAGAGAGCCATCACATAGGTCAGCCGTTGATGGCGGCGTTGGAGAGGCCGTGAACGCAGCCAGGGCCAGAGACAGTGAGGAGGATGCCGGGAAAGTAAAATGTCGGGACCGTTTATAAGAAGAGAGAGAGCTCAGCAAGTTGATTGAGCCATTGTAAGGGAAGGTGGGATTCCTTCATTGGTGGTGGGGACAATGGATGAGTTCACTCCGCTACCACTCAAGCCACCCCATGGCGCACTTCCTAAGTCACCCCCTTGGTGCACCACCAAAGTCTTTTACAACGGTCCGGTCCGGCATGACCCCGTAAACTGTCCCGACATTGATTCCGGTCAGCTTCTACATCGGTCCGGCATGACCCCGTAAACTGTCCCGACATTGATTCCGGTCAGCTTCTGCATCGGTCCGGCATGACCTCGTAAACTGTCCAGACATTAGCTCCTACAACGGTCTGACACGACCAGACAGTGTCTCCTATCCTATTTTTATTTTATTTTCACGTTTTGTTACTCTCTCCAAACTCAAGTTGGTTTGTGTCTCTCCTCCTTGAGTTTGAGGGGGGCTGTTAGTGTATTATAATGTTAGTGTCATATATAGCTGTCATACATTAGCATATATTATATACATGTAAAGTAAAATGTTTATTGTAATGTTTATTGTTTCTGCTTTCGGTGCATTTGGCATCCTATGTACAACACTCTCCTCTCTATAAAAGAGAGTGAGCTTCTCCTTTAAAAGAAATGATGGGAAAGAAAAATAAATGTGTTTTTGTTTGGTTTTTTTTTTTTTTGAAATAATAATAATAATAATAATAATAATAATAATAATAATAATAATAATAATAATATATAAAATAAAGTGTTGGAATCCACTGGAATCAATGAAGGCTAGTATAATATATTGTAGTGGGGAAAAGAATGATGGGTATGTTGATTATAAAATAAAATAAAAATGGGTAGTGTAGAAGATGAGTGTAAAGAAAAGTTTAGTGGAAATAGTGTGTTTGGTATTTGTTTGTGGCCACGTCTTTGGCAGATCAAACACTTTGGGAAAAGGTTAAAAAAAAGTTTAAAATATGAGGGGAGAATGGGGACAAGCCCATGTGAGTGAAAGATGGGCTTAAAGAAAGTAAGGGATGTGGGCGGTGGATGTTTTGGTATGTGTGGATCTACTGTGTGGCTCTCGGCAGAGAGCATGTTTAGAGAGAGAAAATGTGACCAAACAAGTTTGGTAGGGAGGGAGATGGGAACATCAGTTCAGGTGAAGCCACTGTGTGGAGTATATAGAGAGAAGCGACTGTGTGGAGTATACCGACACACCACCACCAATAGACCATCGTAATGGTGGGTTTCCTTCATTTGATGCCCAAAAGAAAATACTGATCAAGGGAGTTTGTGTATGTGTCTCTTAGGAGAGAGAGAGAGAGATAGTCCCCCTAAAACCAGAGAGACCCAGAGTTGATATGTTGTGTAATGCTTGGAGAGCAGATCTGCAAATCCGGCGTTATCGACGGCGCAGACGGTGATAGTCCTCCGTCTGTCATCGGATCTGGTGCTGCGGTGGTGAAGTGTTGTTGAAGAATCCTCCACGAGCTTGAGCTGAATGTTGTCTTTCCCAAATAAATACTTGCTTTTGGATGAAAACCCAGCACCAGAATAGTTATCTAGTTTTATCTTGAGAAACTCTCCTTCATAGGTGAAATGGTCCATTGCCCAGCTGGGCTGAAACAACTCATCATACCTTGATGACTCAACCGAACCCACCATTACAACTGCAACAAAGAGAGCCATCACATAGGTCAGTCGTTGATGGCGGTGTTAGAGAGGCCGCCGAGCATGGAAGATGGGTCAATTCATGATATTATGCTGAAGACCAAGAAACTCCAGACTAGGGGAATTATAAGGATTGCTGTGGATGTGGCAGAAGGGATGAAGTTCATGAACGACCATGGTGTTGCATACAAAGATCTGAACACAGAGGATCTTGTTGGAAGTTGCAGCGGAGTGAAGGTATGCGTAGAAATCTCCAGCGGGCAGCGAAGGCAAAGTTGTCAGTCTCGCCTTGGCCGCCCGCCGGACCTCTACACATACCTTCACTCCGCTGCCCGCTGGAGTTTTCAATACAACACACACAAAAAAAAAAAAACATATACAACACATGGAAACATACAGGTTCTGTCTCTCTCTTGTGGGGGGTAGAGAGCAAAGTTGGAAAGCACTTCAAGCTCGCCGACCGCAAAACCACCTTCACAACGGAGCTCCGTGCCGGCGCCACCACCTTCCTCACCATGGCAGCAGCTTCAGCAACACTCGCGTGGACGGTGATTCGAGTCTCGCCAGGGATACACATCAAAAACAGATTAAACTCTCCCTCTCTCTCGGTGCATGCAACTATGGCAGTGGGACTGTGTTTCTCTGGCTGGTGGAGGAGATAACAAAATGATACACATGCATACATCTCTCTCTATCTCTCTCTCAATGGCGGGTGACCTATGAACATTTTAGTATCATCAGCTTCATGCAATTGCTATATTGAACCGGCGGACGTATTTCTGCCAAATAGAGTGAAATCATGGACAACAAGACATGGCTTTGGAGGACAAGAAGTGAATAAACAACTACACATACAGGGGCATGGCATGGGACTCAGAAGCTCTCTCTCTCTCACCCTTCATCATCACATTCTTTATTGCATTATGCTGTCTCCACCACTTTTGAATTTTCACTAATAATCATCTACTCCACGACCTTTTGAATATGTGGTGTCCCAGCTGTCACCTCGTGGGCTTGTTCCCACCACACCATTATAATATATTATAATACGCAATATCAACTCACAGATTCACACACCATCACTGGTTTTTCAAACCGTTATTTTATTTTTTATCTTTTCTTTTTGAACATTACACCACCGCCCCCAACATCCTCCACTCAAAAATATTCTCTCTTTTCTTTATCTATTTTTTTTTTATTCTTATTATTATTATTAAACAAAACAAAACAAAAACAATACCAAAAACATTCCACATATCACAATCTTTTTTTTTTTTTATTTCTGTTGGGATCAACCCCGATCACATTTTTACACCACAACCAAAAAAAAAAACACTTTCTATCATTTTTTTTTTTTTACCATCTTCACTTTGTGTTGAGCTGTTTTGCTCCACTTTATCAATCCCTTTATTTCAACCTCAAATAGGTTTCTATCTTCACACATGTTTGAGTTTGAGGGAGGGTTATACATATATCATGGTGAGCATGGTTACACACCATGCGAACCACCCAAGCTAATGAGCATGGTTATATACCATGGGAACCACCCAAGCCATCCCATGGCGAACTCCCTAAGTCGCCCTCTTGGTGCACTACCAAAAGCTTCTACATCGGTCCGGCATGACCCCGTAAACTGTCCCGACATTGATTCCGGTCAGCTTTGTTGTTATATTCTCTATATTAATATATATATCAATCCCGCTACGTAGCCCAAAATTACTGTGGCTCGATTGTCCTGAATTTCAAAACAACGTCGTTTTGATATTTTTTTTTCTTTCTTTCTCTCTTTCTTTGCGTTTTGATGATGAAGAAGAAAAAAAAGAAGAGAAGAAGAAGCAGGAGGAGCTGCGCTGCTGGGTTCATCAACATTAACAAAAAAAAAAAAATTTGTTGATCAACATCAACAATTTTTTTTTTGTTCATCAACATCAACAAAATCTGGGTCTACAGATCAAGACGGATAAAAATTTCATCATCAAAAATTTTTTTTTTTTTTTTTGTAGATTTTCCCCGGGAAAAAAAAAATGCAGATTTTTTTTTTTTTTTTTTGTAACTCTCTGGTGAGAATGCGATGGAAGTAGATTCCTGAGATGAATAAAATAAGGTTTGGTGTGCAAATCTATATGGTATGAATGGAATTTGAAAAAGATTAAAAATAATGTGAAAGAAAAATAAAGAAAGAAATAATAAGAATATATTTGAAATCAAAACGAAAGAGTGGGGAAATAAGGAAAGTGGTTCACGTGGTTTCGGGGCCCACGGTTTTGGTAAATCTAGGAACGGTGTTTGAAATATTTGTTTTTTTTTTGTGGCAGAAGAAAATAATAATAATAATAATAATAAGGTAATGGAAAAGGGATGATACTCACCAACTGAGTTGTATAATAATGAAAGATTGATAGAAAAAGAAAGATAGAAAAAATAAAATAAAATAAAATGAAAGTAGTGGGAACACGAACTGAGTGTTAAAATAATGAAATCTCGGGAGAGAAAAGGGATAATGGGTTCTTAGTTTTTTTTTTTAAATGGAAAAGAGAAGATAAAATAAAATAAATAAAGTTGGGGAGAGTGGGAAGCATAATAATGAGTCTGAGCTCAACAAGGGGTAGTGGATAAGATGTTGGGTCCATGGAGAGAGAGAGAGAACTTTTCTTTTCTTGTTCTTTTTCATTTTTCAATTTTTTTTTTTTTTTTTGTTCTTGTGCTTTGTTCTTGTGCTGGTTGATGAGAAAAATAAGTGACTCAAATCTCACATGTCGTCAGGAGGAGTTGGGCTCCTGGGTCCAATTCCATTTGCTTTCTCGTACACATCCGATATAGACCTCCTCCGGAATCGGTATGCCTCTCTGCTCCCTCCGGCAAACGGAGATACCGGTGGCGTAGATCCAGCAAAGTGCTCTCAGCAGACTTGTAAGCCAACAAAGTGCTCTCAGCATCCTCCTTCCTCTCAGACCCCGTCTTAAACTCAGCCAAGTATCTGTGGTAATCACCCTTCATCTTAAGATAGAACACCTTGGACTCTGCAGATGAGGCAGAAGGAATGAGATGTGACTCAAGAAGGTTCAGAATCCCATCACAGATCTTGCTGAGTTCTGCCTCAATCTTTCCCCTGTACTCCTTGATAATAGTGACATGATCTTCGTTTCCACGGCTCTCTTCCTTCTGCTCAATAGAAGAGATAATTCTCCAAGAAGCCCTCCTAGCCCCAATCACATTCTTGTAAGCCACGGAAAGGAGGTTCCTTTCCTCCACAGTCAGCTCCTCAACATCCACTGTCTTTGCCACTTTCTCCATAAATTCAACCATTTCTTCATATCTTTCAGCTTGTTCGGCCAAGTTGGCCATGTAAACATTCTCCTCACGTGATGCTTCAGTTGCCACCATATTTGCTATGCTACACTAATACCTACTTCTTTCTCGACACAGCGAATCTTTCTCTTGCAAAGCAAAAAGCGATAGGAATGAATGGGAGGGTATGTGTAGAAAATAAGCGGAATAGGTTGAGGTTCGGCAGGCGGCTAAGGTGAGGTTGTCGCCCGCTGGTGAAGTGAAAATACTAGGTTCTAAACCTGCTCTGATACCATGTAAAATTCAATGTATAAAGAGAAATAGAGAATTGTATAGATATTGATTGTATTATTGATTGATATGTTATGTACATGGGTGGTCTCCTTTATATAGGAGATGTGGGTGGAGAGTAGGTGTAGTGGAGTATGTGGAGTAGGTGAAGTGAAGTAGTTTTAACAGCCCCCCTCAAACTCAAGGAGGATAGACACAAACCAACTTGAGTTTGGAGAGAGTAACAAAACAGGAATCAATGTTGTGACAGTTTACAGGGTCATGTCGGACCGTTGTAGAGGCTAACTGGAATCAATGTCGGGACAGTTTATGGAGTCATGCCGGACCGTTGTAAAAGCTAACCGGAATCAATGTCGGGACAGTTTATGGGGTCATGCCGGACTGTTGTAAAAGCTAACCGAAATCAATGTCAGGACAGTTTATGGGGTCATGTCGGACCGTTGTAGAATACACTGTATGATGGTGTATATAGGCTGTCCAAATATATATATGTAGATATATATATCGAGCCCTCAAAAGTCGCGCCCTCAAAAGTCGCGCCCACTGCATCAAAAGCCGTGCCCAACAGAAAGCATCGAGCGGCGAGCCATCAAAAGACGCGCCAGACACGCGACGATGCGCGTGAGCGACAGAGCGGCGTGTCAGCCGCGTCGTCATTGTCGATATAAACCAATGCGGTGGCTGTGTAAACCAAACCAGGCTGAAACCTCTGAGCATTGTCATTCTGAAACATTCTGTAACCAACCCGTTCTGACATTACCAGTCGGAAATCGCTGCTTCTCTGAAACACTCATCAACCCAAAACATGGCCTCTTCTTCCCGTGGTCTACTCACTCTCTTTCCAGACCTCAACGAGTCCACAAGAGAGATAACTGGTGCGGTTGCCCTTGAACCTCAACCAAGCGCCCCTGAGTTTGCGTCGTTGACCTTTCCTATGCGGTCTGTGGAGCAAAGAATGGCAGCACAATCAGATATTGAGGCCAATCAGTATACATTGAAGTCATGTGTGGAGACGATGACGGCAGTCACAAACTTGTCGCACCGGCTTCAGAGTAGGACAAATGAGGTACAGCAGTTAAACGCCCAACTAGCTCTGCTCCAACGCATGTATAAGGATGCGCGAGCAAAAATATGTGTACTAAAGGCGGAAAACAAGGAGCTGAAGCGGAAAACCACCGTTATGTTCCGATTTGGAGGTCCGGCATATGCTGCAGTGGAGGAGCAGGAGGGAGTGAACGTGCTCGGCGGCGCGGGAAACACAGAGGCAGCACCGTCAAGGGCCGCCCAAGAGAAAAGCAAAAAAAAGAGACCCGCAGCAGAGTAGAGAAGAAAAATCCCACTGTGGGTGTGGTAGTTTTTTTTTTGTTTTTTTTTTTTTTGGTGTAAAATGGTGATCGGGGTGAGCCCCGACAGGAATAAAATGAGTTTGGTGTGCAGTTCGTCTTTTTTTTTTTTTTTGGTGCAAATCGTATGGCAGGAATGACATAAGACGGAGTAGAAATAATAATGGAAAAAAGATTAAAAATAAAGTGAAAGAAAAATAAAAAAAGAAAGAAATAATAAGAATATATATGAAATCAAAACGAGAGAGTGAGGGAAAAAAAGAGATTGGTTTAGGTGGGTTTCTTGGCCCACGGTTTTGTTAAAACCTGCAATGGGTTTGGTATTTTTTTTTTTTGTAATAATAATAATAATATATTAATGGCGAAAGCATGTGCCCTGGTGGGTTGGAAAGTGAAAAAATGAAAGAGAGAGAGAGAGAGTGGGGTACATGATGATGAGGATGATAATAATAATAAAATGAATAAAAAAATTGGTTTTGTGTAATGTTGTGGCTTTATTCAAAAAGTGAAAACTTTGTCCCTGAGTTGATGTATAGAGAAAGAAAGAGCAGTGGCACTGTTGGCCGGGCTAGAGAGAGAGCTCATGCACGCGTGTATCTGTGTGTGATAGGAGAGAGAGAGAGAGGTGCCGAGAGGAAGAAGAGGCAGCTCTGAACAGCCACCCTGCTCTCGTGTCTGTCTTTCTTTTTTTTTTTTGTGCAGATGATGATCAACAGTGCTCCAAAACCAGAGAGAGAGAGAGAGATGTTGGGTTTGGAATTGATCAATATCGATTTTCTGTAGATTTGCAAACTAGTTTAGAATTATCTCCTCCGCGAAAGATGTCTCTGAGCGAACTCGCTTGCAGCTACGCTGCTCTCATCCTCCACGACGATGGCATCCCCGTCACCTCAGAGAAGATTGCGACACTGGTTAAGGCTGCCAACGTGCCTATAAAATCGTACTGGAAGATACAGCCGGTGGCGTAGTTGATCAAGAGGAGTCCTCTGTCTCTGCAGAGGTCGGCGAGGGTTAGAGTTCCGACGACATTGGTGCGGATGGTCTCGACCTTGTAGGACTCGCACCAGTCGACGTTAGGGCGCCCGGTGACGCCGGCGGCGTTGAAGACGTGGGTGGGATTGATGGAGGCGAGGTCGGAGTCGAGGGAGCTCCGATTCTCGAGACGGCCGGAGCCGTAGACGTAGTCGATTCCTTGGGATCGCAAAGCTTGCCGAGCAGACCTCCTATCCAGCCGGTGCGGCCGTAGATCAGGAACTTCAGGGGCTTCTCCGATGAGCCGTTGTTTGGGAACCCCATACTCAAATCCCATGAGAGATGTTGATCTTTGTATGTAGAGAAGTCGCCTCTGGTGGCGGCGAACTGGAAGCTATATGTATTGATAGAGATGAGAGCGGAATAGGTTGAGGTCCAGCGGGCGGCCAAGGCGAGACTACCGCCCGCCGGTGAAGCAGAATGACTAGGTTGTTAATCTTGCTCTGATACCGTATCTCTCTGTGTATATTTACAAAGAGATGTACACTGTCTTTATAGAGAGGAGAAGCGAGAGAAGAGAGAGCAAATGAATAACTCTATATCTATGTGTATATTTACAAAGAGATGTACACTCTCTTTATAGAGAGGAGAAGCCAACATAGGATGCCAATTGAGGCACCGAAAGCATAAAGCAAGGGGACACTAATTATTAAAGCTAAACACTAACACATAATAATATACTAACAGCCCCCCTCAAACTCAAGGAGGATAGGTACTAGCCAACTTGAGTTTGAAGAGAGTAACAAAATAGGAAAATAAAATAGGATAGGAGACACTGTATGGTTGTGTCAAATCGTTGTTGAAGACACGGTATGGTCGTGTCACACCGTTAGAGAAGACACTCTATGGTCGTGTCGGACCATTGTAGCAGATAATGTCTGGACAGTTTACGAGGTCATGCCGGACCGATATAGAAGCTAATCGGAATCAATGTCGGGACAGTTTACGGGGTCATGCCAGACCGTTGTAGAAGCTGACCGGAATCAATGTCGGGATAGTTTACGGGGTCATGCCGAACCGATGTAGAAGCTGACCGGAATCAATGTCGGGACAGTTTACGGGGTCATGCCGAACCGATGTAGAAGCTGACCGGAATCAATGTCGGGACAGTTTACGGGGTCATGCCGAACCGATGTAGAAGCTGACCGGAATCAAGAGAGAGTTGAGAGAGTGATATTGAAAGTGAACACTCTGTTATTGAAACTGTATTTAGAAACCAAATAGAGGCTCCATAATATAGGAGCTGGATACAAAACATCATTATGATCTAATTTAATATAATAAAGAAAAGGAATCATATTATAATATATAACATATTATATTATATACATACTATAACATATAATTATATTAATATATGTTAACAGCCCCCTCAAACTCAAGGAGGACAAACATCAACCAACTGGAGTTTGGAGACAAGTTCAACGAAGCGGCCAAGAGAATGAGCTTTGGTGAAGATATCAGCAGGTTGATCAGCAGAGGAGATTGGATGGAGATGGACAGTACCACGAGTGACGTGTTGACGAATAAAATGACAGTCAATCTCAATGTGCTTGGTGCGATCATGAAAAACATCATTGTGAGCAATTTGAAGAGCACTTTGATTGTCACAAAAGATGGCAGTAGCGCCAGAGGGGGAAACACCCATGTCAGCAAGAAGCCAACGAAGCCAGAGAAGCTCCTGAGTAGTATCAGCAAGAGCACGATATTCGGCCTCGGTACTGGAGCGAGCAGTAAGAGATTGTTTCTTGCTGCGCCAAGAAATAAGAGAATCACCCAAGAAAAAGCAGAACCCGGTAGTAGAGCGCCGGTCAGTAGGATCCCCAACCCAATCAGCATCGGAAAAAGCACGAAGCTGGAGAGAGGAGCGGGCGGAATAATGAAGGCCATGAAACAAGGTACCTTTGAGATAACGAAGGATACGAACTAATGCAGCATAATGAGGGGTACGAGGAGCTGACATAAACTGGCTGACAATATGAACGGCATAGGCAATATCAGGACGAGTAACAGTGAGATAGATAAGGCTGCCAACCAGCTGACGATATAGGGTAGCATCAGAGAGAAAAGTGCCATCAAGAGGTGTAAGACGACTCTGAGGCTCCAGCAGAGTGGAGGCAGTCTTGCAATCCGTAAGACCAGCACAGGTGAGAAGAGCAGAGGTATACTTAGCCTGAGAGAGAAAAGACCCCGTGGAATCATGGAAGATTTCAAGGCCCAAGAAATAGCTGAGAGGACCAAGGTCTTTCATTCGAAATGATGGCTAAGAAACTGTTTAAGGCATAGAATACCATCAAGATCGTCACCGGTGATAATCATGTCATCCACATAAAGAAGAAGCAAGGTGGTCCCTTGAGCAGTGGTCCGGATAAAAAGAGCAGTATCATAAGAACTGGAGGTGAAACCACAGTCATGAATAGTAGAGCTGAACTTGGCAAACCAAGCGCGCGGAGCTTGTTTGAGACCATATAAAGCACGCTGAAGTTTGCAGACTTTATGAGG